TCTAAAAAAATAATCTGATAATATTTTAAGTCAAAAATATGAGCTAAAGAAAATTTTATTTTTATAATTTTATTTTTATTTACATAAAACGTGATACGCAAAATATGTATGTTCTGGGTTCCTTACAGAGTTTCTCTAAATTTTGATTCATACGACTTATAAGTGGAGCATAATATTTACCTTGACATTTTTACTAGGCAAAGATCGATTCCTAATTGATCATACAATCTATGAATAAAAAGAAATACAGAAAATCTGATACATTCTATATATTTGATTCTAATTGAATTTCCTGGATAGCTAAAGGTTAAAGGATGTTAACTGCGATTATAAATAGTTCTCATTAATTATTGTGACTAAATGCTATTATTATAAAATGTTGAATATGTGCATGATAATATAGGAACGACAAGCACAATTGTTCGAGAAATAATTAGTTTTGCCTTCAGTTTTACTGGAAAATTTTCCCTCATTTTAATTTAATAAATGTAATAATTATTTAATAATAAATTAATTTTAGGTAACGCTAAAAGAATTATCTTCTGGATTTCACAATGAATGTCATCGTTTAAAAGCGTCACCTCTTCTGGAACTATCGGATACAATTGCATTACGCATACGGCACGTGCGTATAATTGCGCCTTAGGTGAATTAAGCGAGTTGCTTCCGCTGAAACTCGCTTTTGGAGTTTACGTCAAATCCGGCTTTCTTGTAGCATAGGATGTGACAAGTTTTATTTTCTCATTAATCACGATCGAGCCCAGACTCTGTAAATTAACGACGACGGATAAACGATCTGATCCAAGCACGTAATAAAGACGAGGGTTAAAGCGTCAATAAAAGTTGTGGAGACAATGTGCGTCTGTGATATTATGTGGTCGGGTTTTTCATTTTTTTCTTAAGAATAAACGCTCGCAAATTTTATTTGCAGTGAATGCTTTACAAAGAATGTTGTATGACCGCGAGATTGCATTTATCAGCAGAAATGGGAGTAACAGGACAACAACGAAGAATTAATTAATTAGGAGCGAGAGAAATGTAATGTAATGCAGTTCCACTGATAGTTGTAAGCTAACATAGAAGATTGTCCCAACAAAAGTTCATCATAATTAGAATTAGAATAGAGATTATAATAAAGTTTCGATTTAAAATGCAATGAATGTTTCCTCAAAAAATTGTAGTTTCTTTTTTAATTGCAGAAACGTAAACTCTTAAATTTTTGCTAATTTCTTTGAAATCCGGCTATCTGTTACAAAACATATATTTACATTAAATTAAATTAAATTACTTTTGTTTCTAAGGTAGTCTTTGCTTTCTCATGTCTTCATTCTTATGCGAAGAAAAATATGTTGCAGCTACCTATTTCATTATGAATAAAAAGAGCCACGGAATCAAATGAGTAAAAAATGTTTTATGCAGGAGTAAAAGTTTTACTCTGATGTCTGAAATTCATTTTTTATTCTGTATATTTTCAAGTGTAATTTAAAAAAATTAAACAAAAATGAAGCACGCTGTCTAAAAGCAAGAGCTTTTGATTGTATGGAACGAGTCCGAAAATTCGAAGCTTCGATCTGATAGATCGAGTCCGTCGTTAACATATTAAAGTACTGATAAAAGGCTGCGTCAATAATAATCACTTGGTTCGTGCGTGCACACTATTAATTTCCTTCGTTACTAAAACCTGTCTGGAATAACAAACACGCAACTCCAAAGTAATATTTTTGAATATACTTCCGGCACAATGGCTACACTGAAGCTCTGTTTTATTCGCTCCTCTAACATTTTTATTTACTTTGCTTAATACTTTTCAACTTTCAGACATCTCGTTATCGCGATTGGAAATAGAAGGAGAGATATTACAATTTTTTTCTTGTAAAGTGTTGATTACACGTTCTATGTTACTTGACATTTTCTGATACCCTATTTTGTCGTGTAATGGATGTATAAATAAGAACAAGGTTATCTTGAATATGATCATCATGGGAGTAAAAAAACCGGCAAGTGTAGAGCGACTCCTTCGTCGCTTCCTATTTTTTCCGAATCTTTATTTCAAATAGTGATAAAGTGCATGTTTTATGTCGGTAATAGACGCTCGTTAGAATTTGACCTAGCTCTTGCATATTTTAGACGAGATTTGCATCGTGCCGCATTTCAAAATAAAAAAACGAAACCTAAAGAGGTATGTATACACCACGCTACCGTGACGAAGGGTGTTGAAATATATATCGTCACATGTAAACTACGGATTAATCGACATTTCCCGCAGTTTCGTTTGCGCCAGTACGCGATTTTATTTCGTCGATCCACGTTACGGTGCGGGTATGTTTGCTCCACGTTTTTTTTTGTGAATTTATTCCATCGTGTTATCCTTTAAAATTTTCAATTTTTACTTCCGCCGAAAATCATGCGGGATGTGAAATATTTTTCAGTGATATTTGAACACCAAAGGATACGTTAAAAATTTTTGGTAATTGATAAACTATGCTAAATTTTATTTATAATAAAAAGATAATGCAAAGTATATATAGGATTTATTTTGATTCCTTAAACGTATCGGAAAAAAAGAGAAAAGTTTAAAATCTAATATACTTTACATAAGGCTTGTATGTAAAGTATATTAGGTAATAGCGTAAGTCGAGAATGAAAAGAATATAATGCGTTGGTTCAAGCGAAATACTATCCAATGTAATCTTATATCACGTGCCACAGTTGCGACACAAATAATTTCGCTTGTCATCTAGATATTTTGCACGAAATATATTGCGGTCTGTGAAAACTTGTAACAAGATTACCGCAATGTAGCTACTTAATATTTCAAATTCATCAGCGTCTTTTAAATTTCTCTCAACAGTATGTAAATATTAATAACATTCATTAAAAATTCGTAACAGAATACGTTCGAAACAGTGTTTATAAATTTATCAAATATATATAATATTATAAATTTTATAAATTTATTTTGTTAAAAACATCTGGTGAAACTGGTTATGTCTTTAATTTTATATACCTTTTTTGCGTTATCTCAATTGAAAAATAAAGTTAAAAGAAATAAAAAATTGGACTATAAGATTATGTCACGGTTAAAATATATTTGTAAATGAAAATAATTCATTTGAAAAAACATTTCTGTAATTATATTTACTGAAATAGTAATATTTCATAAATTTAAGAAGCAAGCATTTTTCATTGCATACTTATTTGATGTGATATCATATTATATTTATAAAATATCATTATATCATATTACATTTCGAATTGTGTACATATTGTTTCAATTAAAATTACATAAAATACGATTTTTAATACATATGAATTTAATTTAAAACAAATATCTTGTGTGGTAGAAGCCATTACAATTTTAACTCAACAAAATTCAATTACGAGTTCCGTTTCTATTCAAGATATACATCGTCATTGTTAAAACGTAATAATAATCACATTATATATAACTTTCTAACAACCCAAGTTAAACAATGAGATTCAAGTCGACGTATCTATGCTTTATATGCAGGGAAGGGAGTTGCCAAGTATACAGCATTCTCTGACTTTCTACTATTACTTCTGAATTGATATAAATGAGTCTGAAGAGGTGATTCTTTAAGCAACTTTGAATAATTTTGAATAAAATTATTACATATGCATACATGAATATTTACATCAACTATTCAGCGTAGATCCTCAAGAACATTATTCTATATCTACTTTTGTTAATTAATATTTTATAAATTAATTATCTAATTTCATATTATAAATATTTTATTTTATAAAAAATTTATTTTGGAGTAATGCTATTAAATTTTTTTTTAATTTTTAAATCACTCCTTCATTTTTATTTCTTTTTTATCACTATAAGATCACACTTAAGATCACGTTCTTGCCAAGTCTAGAACTAAGAGTTACTAAATATGATATTTTTAACAATTCCATTAATTCTGCAGTCACGGAATAGAGCATGCATGTATGAGCCTTCATTGACAGGATGTGCGTGCGTGCATGCGTGCAATTAGTACATATCACAGCGGTCACGAACGTCGCGCCGTCCTCCTTCTTGACGAGATCGGCGTGACGCCGCGCCGTGACGCCTACTTTCCTCTCGATATCAAAATTCCATGCCTGGCATGCGCTGGAATTCTTTACGGCCTCCGATGTGCCGTCGTGTGGTGTGGTATGGTGTCACGAGAACGTCGACCACACCCCAGCTTAGCTCAACACGACCTCGCGGAAGAGTAGTTAAGTAAGGACACACAAGAATGAGAAGAGAAGGGGGAAGGGGAGAGTATCGGAAAACAGGCGGAGGTAGAAAAATAGTGTAAATGGAACAGGATGATGCGCAAGTTTCTCCTGAACAACCAGGAGATTTTAATGGTGATAATGAGAAAGAGGATATTACGCGACACGTGGTAGATGCTTGTAGAATATTAAATGCGAAAACGAGGAAAAAATACATGTGAATATAGAAAGAAATGTTTCAATTATTGCAAAAATGATTTATTTAAGATAAATATTTATGATTTCTTTAGTAAATATAAATATGAATAGAGTATAAATATGAATATTAGTATAAATATGAACTTCTCAAGAGAGTCCGGTTATGTAATATAGTCTTTTCACGAGACAAATATAGTGGCATTTGTTGTTTATTGCAAAGTATTACAGAAGATGGACCATAAAATTTATGGAAGCCTATATATTTTGTAATATAGAGTCAAATATTGCTACCATATTTCTTGCGTGATTAGTCTCTTGAGAGTCTTTAGATATAAAGAGAGAATTTTTGACAGATACAGAGATTTATCTTGTGACAGACATTTTGAATATCTATTATAAGAGAAAATTCATTTTAAAATCCTTTTAATTATAATTAAAATAAATTTAAATAATTAAAAGTAATTTATTGCTTTTTTCTTATTTCGACATTTATCGCTACAGGCATTTACCTGTATATCGTATCATTATTCGACCTTTAGAAACTATTCTATTTCTGCGCTTATTGTTTCAAGAACCGTCGCCGTTGTACGACAACAACCACTACCACGAGGAGTGCCTAAAATGTAACAGCTGCGGCCTGAATCTCACGGGACCCAATCAAAAGCGGGCGAGACGGTGAGTAAGATAGAATCGCATTCTCGATGCGGTTTACGCTTCCGGCGAACTTGTAAAACGATATTATCCTTAATCAGTATTGTCGTAAACATTATTATGTGCTGTACCACATTAATGTGAAGCACGCCTCTTGTCCTTTTATTTTCATACTCGTTTTACGACATTTCCATTTCATCGAGGCTCTTAACGTGACTGTAACGATTTTATTTGGTAATCCAATACCGTTTTCGAAACTATCTAGGAAGAATGTGTCTCTCAAAAATCTTGAGATACACTCTTTTTTTGGATTTTCAAAAGGTTTCAATTTTGCATTGTTTATAATGTTGTTTGACTTTGCATGTAACTCCATGATTTTATATTTCACAATATACAGAAAGGTAATGCATGCTCCGGAAATTGCCAAAAAAATGCTTAGTCACAAATTACAATTTTCATCATTTGGGTTATCATTTATTATTTCGTTCATTTATTATTTTTTATTACCCCCGGCCTGATTTCACGCAATCTGCATTCAGCTGCGTACAAAATGGACGTTCGGTGAATAAACGCTTTATATTTTGTATTTAAAAGTATTATTATACAGGATAACGGTAAATTATACAGTCAAACGAGCAGTTTTATTGTTGACTACGGTATAATATTGGCAATGCGAAATGTTGCGCGCGAAAATAATTTTTGTTTACAATTTAACACCGTCAGAGAGGAACATAAATAACTATACGATATTCAACAGAATTATATCCATGTTATTTGCTTCATGCTATCACTCTCTCGACTTCTTTTACATATTTTAAAAATTAAGCCGACTCTCTCTCTCTCTCTCTCTCTCTCTCTCTCTCTCTCTTATGGAATAAGATCCTTGACGGACGATCCCATGATGCTGAATTCTCAAGATATTTCTGCCTGGAAACTGAGTAGCGAATATTCGAGATATACATGACGAAATAGAACACGAAATGCTATTTGATCTGTATCTCACAGACGCACAAAGTAACACAATTGATAAATAAATATAACTATTTGATCTATTTTTCTTTTTTTTTTTTTGGAATAAGAAGCATGATTCTATTATTAACAATTTGTACGTCATCTTATCATATAAATGTAATACGACATATATTTTTTCCATCGTTTATAAAACGCATTTCTTCCATCTTTTAAAATGTATTATATAACTCTGTAACCAATTTGCGTAGATGAAATAAAATATGAGAACTGTAACACGTGGATATCCTTTATATAGCGCGAGAAACTCAATCGGTCGAGGAGTCAGTCGCGAAGCTGCGCTTTTGTAATGCATTGCCATACAAACAGAGATTCCGTTCACGATTTAACACTTTGTTCGCAGAGGCGAGAAAGACATCAATAGATCGCGACAGTAGGAAAGCGCTTTTTTCGCCATGCATCACGTCGTCCAACTTTTACTATACTCTCCCGACGAACGTAGAAATTCCGCGTCCGATTAACATGATGGACAAAACGCGAAATCAAGCGTTCGTCCCAGTGAATTCGATCTCCAATTAATTTGATCGGACGATTGAAGTCCAACGAAATTGCGACATACTCTTCATGAAAAATCATCCTAGTTTTATCAAGAGTCACGCGAAAGCTGTTGCACCGGTTGGAATACCGTCTCCGCGCGAATATCGCGCTTTTGCACCCTCGTACATTTGATCGAATTTACATGGCCGATGAGATTCGATCCCGAAAAGAATGCTCAGCCATCTATTGCGTTTCCCATTCGAGAACATTTACGTCACATATGTGGGGATCATTGCGAGGCTCAGTCGATCGGAAAGCCATCCCGTCGCGCCGTTCGATCGCGAGTCACGTGGAGTTGAATTGACGATTTTAACGTAGTCTCCCGTGGATAAAAGGACGAATAATATATCTTCTATATCGGGTCGCCGATTCAGAAGCCCATTTGCGATTCAACGAACGTTACGACGAGCGTTATCGTCGAGCTGCCACGTTGAAAAACGCCACGTCACAGTGCGTCATAATGTCATCCCTCGACAAGCTTTCTTCCCTCCGCGGAGAGCGAGGGATTATCGAAAAATATTTTTATTATTCTATCGCGCGGACCGAAGGCAGACTGTGGAAATAACGCGCGGAATCCTGTCAGATGCAGGCCGAATTGGAATGGACGTTTTAATGTAACGTTATGCGATTACCATTGCCGTTTTACAACCTTTACGCAAGTCGCTAATGCATCACTTTAATGCATTATGAGGTTATCGCCTATCGTACAGGTAATATAAATAGAAATGTCATATGAAGCTTAAGAAATCATATTTTTTTTATGATTTACGTCCGTGACAGTCGATCACTCTTATATGTATATGGAACACAACTCGCAAAATATCAATGAAAATTGACAAATATTACAAATATAGTTGAGAATATAATGCTCTCCGAAATTTAATAAATTACGAAGAGATTAACGTGTTTTTGTATGGATCATCACAGTTTCTACTAAAACTCAGTATAGTTCATACTTTTTAATTGATATTGCGTAAATCCATGTGATAAAAGCGCACGATAAAAGAGATAAGGGAGCGATGTGTTCCAATAACAGCCACCGTCGGGATGTAACAACGGATTCACGTTTATCAAGCGATCTGAACTCTCTCATGAAACTTCGTTTCTCTTGATTGTTTTCGTGATGATAAGATTCATTTAAGTTCAAGTTTCATCACGTTGAAATGAAAAGCATCAGTTGGAGATTTTTTTTATCTTTAATCAAATGCCTTCTAACTAGAATCAGATCCATCTTAATTACTTTTTTATAATCAACTCATTGAGTTTTTATTTCAAATTGATTGTTTTTCATTTTTACGACAATTCATTTTTACGACAAATTTAATACCAAAAGATGTTACATAATAAGAGCAAATATCATTACTATTCATTGCCAGTAACTGTTCACTTTTATGTTGGAAATGATGCTCCATAAACACCTATTTATTATTCTTGGATGAAAAGCAATAAAATACTGCTCGTTTTCAACGAACAATTCTGAGAGTTGTTCTGTATTTCAGATTCAAGAATCAGATACTTTGCGATCTGCACTTTGCCGACGTGGCGCTGATGGAGTGCTCGGACTTCATGCAGCAGTTGCGCAGCTTCAAACCACAAAGTTTAGGCTGTGCAGTTGCGAGAAGAAAATCTTCGACCACCCTGATCTTTCCATTGCCACCTCAGGCGTGCTCTGGTAAGTGCTTTCATCATCGCTCATTCTTCCTCTCTCTTATCGGTTGCATTTTCGTGAACGAGCCCAGTGCCACCGACTTTTGGAAGAGTGCATATGTATGAGATGAAGCTACAGGTGGTTCCGCCTGTCTTGGATTACTCACGATTATATGAGCGACGTTACTTCGTCACGCCGGATTCGAATAGTAGAATGTAAATGTTCGGTAACGGAGTCACAAATGGGAATCACAAAATATTCATGAAAGAAGAAATAATAATTGTCGCGTTTCTTCAGTTCAATGTATTGAAATGGATGATCGTGTGTACTAAATAATTTCAAAGCGAATTAGATCGTAAGCGTTGATAATCTTCTTAAGTATTAATAAATATTTATAAATAAAAGCTATAAATAAATAAATAAAATTA